CCCAAGGCTATAGTCAAAGTCGTGTGTAGCGTTTGAGCTTACCAATGTTGCTTTGCAAAACAGAGCAGGTCTGTCTAAAACACTCCATCTATTTCCTCAGCTCGTGTTATTCTAATAGCTCAGACGGCTGGGAGTTTTCAAGCTCCAGTGGGAAATGGAAAACAAGCAAGAGTTGCATAATGGCGTCTCTCTGTATTCCTTGCCCCCCTTGCTAATGCCCCAAAGAGGATGGAGCTTTTTATAGGCTGGCCTGCAGACCAGACTAGGGTACTGGAAGACACTCAATCCCATCGGCACCTCGGCGGGAGTAGGGCATCTATTGCAAGAGGACACAGAGTCCTTCTTAGACACTTCTTTGCAAGGCTTTGTAAACAATCATTGTTTACGAAGATGGGATAAACAGCATGACAATAAATATTATTTCAAATCTGAGTAAAACGGAAGTTGCTGACACTTTTATTTCAGTATGTTAATGTTCTGCCAAATAAAGGAGTGTTGAGTAGGGGTTGGGATTCCCTAATACCAAATTAACGGTAAGAAAGGGCATTAATATGAAGTTGCTATGAAAGCCCTGAGGTTGACGTCAAAAGAACAACCGCCACTCCAAACTTAAAAACAAATGGTCAGACTTTTATTGATGATCACCAAAACAAACAATTTCTTTTAGTCGATTAACTTGCATGTATTTAGCACACCATTCCCTAATAGCAAACTAACTGTAGGAGAGGGTATTAATATGAAGTTTCTATGGAAGACCTCAGATTGATGCCAACAATGACAGTGTTTCCTCTAGGATTTTTTCCAGCTGTGGCGGCAGGCCTTTTTTTTTAACACAGATCTACCAATTACCTGTGGCGTTATTTCAAAGACAAATGTCAGGAGAGCAGTATTAGAAGTCGAGATAGCATTTATATAATAACCTACGAGCATGCAAATCTCTTTGCTTGCGCGCCAATTTCCTCTGTTCATGCACAAAAGTTCTTGCACGCCCCCCTTAAATATAAGCCACTTCAAGAGCGCACAGATCTTCTTGTGCGCTCTCAAATAAACGCTGCTGAAGTGCGATATAGTGCGTTTATGTAACGAGTATGTCTCCAGCATTCATTAGACTTGCTAGGAATATTTATGAATGTCTTCAATAGACCTACAGAGCGGTATTTATGCGTCCTGAAGTAAAGTAAAACGGGTATATGTCAAGTTTGCTGGCAACACGCGTTTGTCAGTCAGTCAGCATGTCACCTTGAAGGGTTAAACAAATGACGCACAGCACTACTACGGTTACAGAAAACATGCGCTGTTATAATTCACTTACCTTTTAATACTTTTTGGTGTGATTCTTACCCGCTTAAAAAAAGTTTAATGTTTTGAATGAGAAGCTGAAATGTAGCCGTGGTGGGATGAATTTTGGCGTGGCGCCCCACAATGGAAGAATGAATGTAGTGAAAACCATGAATGATCACCACTCAAAACATGAAAACAAATGGTCAGACTTTTTTTTTTGATGAACACCAAAACTAGCAATTTCTTTTAGCGGATTAACTTGCATGGATTTAGTGCATCATTCCCTAATAGCAAACTAATGGTAAGAGAGGGTATTAATGTGAAGTTGCTGTCGAAGCTCTCAGATTGACGTCAACAGAACAACCGGCACTCCAAACGCAGAAACAAATGGTCAGACTTTTATTGATGACACCAAAACCAGCGATTTTTTTTTATTTATTTATTTTTTATTTTTTTTGTGGATTACCTTGGATTAGTGCATCATTCCCTAATAGCAAACTAATGGTAAGAGTAGGTATTTATATAAAGTTGCTATATGGAATCTCTCAGGTTGATGTCAACAGAATGACCGCCACTCCAATCGCTGGAACAAATGAACAGAGTATCATTGAAGATCACTAAAGCAAACATTCTTTTAGCGGATTAACTTGCATGGATTAATTATCCACCTTATGAATAACAATGCAAGCTAGCAGAATGAACATTCTAAATTTTGATTTCAAGCCGCCTTTAAAGTCCACACAAAAATGATACAGAAGAAATATATTGATTTTGTCTAGCTGATGAATGATAGAAACACTTGACACCCAATCAGATTCCATCCTGTCAAAGCCTGGGCATTTAAAGTTACAGCGCCTTGTTGCGAACACCAAAATAACATATGGGGTTGACAAAAGCCTTACACGGAAAAAAAATTGTAAATGGTTGACTGAATGGTTGGCAAATGGTTGCTAAAATGTTTTAAGGCATTGCCACCATTTATTTGTTGGTGGTTTCTTTCCTACCCCATATCGAAAAATGTTTGAAAGTCCACCCACACCCCTGACACACAAGAGTATTTGATGTCTAATTTTTGTTTTTCAGTTGTAAAGGAGCTAATTATGACAATGTTGAAATGACATGGACAGACTAATTAGTGCAAAAACAGTTTAAGGCATTAAAACAGGCTTTACTCTCCTTATTAGCTGGTTAGAAAGGCTGGTTACTTCAATTAAGCTCCCAATTTTTGTTTTCTCTCTATCAGAAGTCAGCAATTAAATTTTTTTTGTGTTCCTTAAAGGTGGGTTCATACTTTAATTCCTTTGATTTGCTTTTAACAGTCTATTTTACCAGTTATAGGAGCAGCTATTCCATCATGCTTTTACTTTAAGTTTGTAAACTTTTGTGACGAGACCTTGTGACATTCTTTATTCACAGTAGCAAGCTGTATGATAAGTCTTTGTTAAATTTAGTCCATATAATGAATGTTAGTTCGAGGTGTTGGTGACACTTCGAAGGCTTGTTCATCAAGTTCTCCATTTCAGGTTCATTTTGAGCTGGCTGTGATCACACCAACCCTGGAATTTCAGGAGGTGTTTTACTAATTCATTAGCACTGGAGACGATATGAGCTGGAATCTGTGTTTTGAAAGTTCTTTAAGTTCTTTCTGGCTTCATATAACTATAGAAGTGACTGAAAGTCATGATAGGTTAATAATTATAATGTTATGTTGTTGAAGGTAAATCTTTTGTAAGTTTTCTGGGTTTTTAACAGAGTTTAGGCTAATGCTCAGCCACAGTTAGCAAACAGGAAGTTTAAATTCACAATAAAATTTTCTTCTGTACCTATATAAAAAAGAAAGACTTAGAAGTTGATTTGTACTCGTTTAATCAACCCAAGCTCATTAGAGATATGTGCTCAGGGCTACATCTTTGAGAACAGAGAAATATGTACCTGGGCCAAAACCTGGTTGCAGGTTTATTTTTACAAAATCACTAGAGGAGGCCTTGTACATTTTTTGACAATCTTGAGCTACCAAGCAAACTAGTAATGCCAGAAAAGCCATACATACGGAGGTAATAAGTGAGCGGTACCCCCCCGAAAACATTTGTTTTATGTACTCGGTGAACCATATTTCTCGGTTCTCAAAATTGTAGCCCTGGGCACATATTCCCAGTGAATGTTTGTTCTAATAGTTTTTGATAGAGGAGTAGTCAACCTTGACTAGCTGAAAAATCCTACAAAATGTTAACATTCCAGCTTGAACTGAGGCAAATCCAACTGCAAACTATAAATAAAAAACTTTTTTAAGAAAAACCACATTGTTGTCTAAACAGTCCTCCACAACAGGATACCACGCAGACAGCCAGATCCAGAAATATCATGAACTAAACTAGTCATGAGGCTCGCTTGTGTGTATGTGGTAATTCAGAGGTGAAAATGAAAAATTGATTTTGCTTGGAGCATTCAATTCATTCTACAACAGCCAATTTCCCCAAAACATGTTGTCGAAAACTCCACAGTAGCTTGCTGCTTCACATTTGTTATTAGCCTTGTCTGTTAGAACTGCTTAGACTAGCAAATAATCATCTTTAAGTTCAGGTATCAGGTGACCCTAAAATCTTGATACATACTCCAAACACAGAAGCAAATTGTCAGACTTTGATTGAAGATTCCCTGCAGGCACAGGATGTCAACATGACGTCATATTGACGTTGCACCCCAAAGTACCATTGGACTTACATCAATGTTCAGTGTCCAACCTAAAATTAACCAAATGTCAATGTCTAATGATGTTACACCTTGACGTTGTGTTAACGTTACCACTATGATATCTATCAGACGTTACATTTTTGGTCACTTTCCAACACAACGAACCAAATATCAACGTAATTTGACGTCGTTATTGGAAATTAAAATAATGTTGTCCTTAGATGCTGGCTAGGCATTGAATTTTGGTCACCTGACGTCATGATCTAAATCTAACCTAATATTAATGTTTAATGATGTTGTGTGCCTGCTGGGTTACCACAACAAACTTTTTTTTTCAATGTATTTACTCGCACGGATTAATTGTTCACCTAAAAAATGCTAATGTGCGCTAGCAAAATAAATATAATACATTTCATTTGGACTTTAAATGACCTAGGGTTGAGTAAATCAGCTAATTTGACATGTCGTGTGAACTATCCCATTAAATGTTTGGTTGACCTTTCCTTAATGCTGTTTTAGCTTCTCTTTTTTTATTTCATCTCCATCTCCATTGCTTTCTCACTGCACAGCCATGAGCTTTGTCTGGTGTCCAAATGCCCTATTTAGAGCAGCATGTGTCTGTTGATGCCACATACAAACGCAAACTCCAAGGAAGCTTGTTGACCTTGATTGGGATGCCACGGAAAAGCGGATGAATCTGGGGTGAGGAACCCAGCCGTCGTCTTCACATGATGTATTTTTATCAAGCCGTCTCTCTGTCAACAAACACCCCGGTCGCTGTTGACAGCTGCTGCTGATGCTCCGGGGTTTGTGATGGAATATAAATGAAGGCTGAATAATAAAGTCGGGCGATGCTGTCGGCGACCTGTTGAAGTCTGGATGTTAATGTCAAACAAATATATACCAAAGTTTTGAATCACAATCATGACTGTCTGCATTTTCTTTTTGCAGCTGATAAAAAAAGTGATATTTATTCAGATTGTGTTGTCAATATCCGGCTGATCACTGTTCTTTTTTTTCTTTACTAGATTCCATATCGAAAAAGGCTTTCATCACAGAGGTGTGTTTCTGTAAAGCTTCTACTTTTAGACTGCAGATAAGCGTGTTTATGTTGGGATTGATGGTGTTTTTGTCATTTATGTAAGATGCCTTCATCGTCAGGCCTGCCGTCTCATGGGAAGAAGATCGGACACAGAGGAGTGGATGCTTCTGGAGAGACCACGTATAAGAAGGTGCTTTACATCTACAATAATGCATTTATTTTTTATTTACCTAAAACAGTGTTTCTTAAACTTTTTTTCACCAAGTACCACCTCAGAAAAAATTGTCTCTCCAAGTACCACCATAATGACTGGTATTGAAACACATAGTAGGCCTAGTTAAGCGGCTACAGCTCTGCACATTTCACAAACATGGCAGATTAATTCTTCTTATTATGAATATTTATTTTTGTCAGCCACTTTAAACATTGAAAATAGCTTGAACAATAACACGCAGGTAAAAAAAGATAAATAAAACGACAACGTTTAAATTAAAATGTGATTTTAAAAGTTAATTAAAAATGGCACTGTTCTTAAAAGGTAAAAGAAAACTGCTGTACTTAAATGTAAAGTATTATCATGACGTAGTCTATTCATCAAAACCTGCAAATGTTTCTTGTACCTCATAAATATGCGTTATACCGTATGTCATAATATTATATATAACATCTCTTTGGTAAATTTTGAAATATATGTTGCATGTATATATGACTTATTTTTTTATATTTGAAATCCAAACGTTAACCTGTATTTTAAATGTATTAATTGGATGTACATATTTCAATAAGAAATTAGATCTGTTTACTGCTCGTTAGAGTAGGGTGTGTGTCAGAGAAGCAAGTGATTAAACTATACCTGTCAACATTGGGATATAAAAATACGAGATACGACCCCAACAACTGTTACAAGTATGGGGAGGAAAACAACCTCAAATGATAGAATACATAACTTACATTAGAAAAATGAAAATAAAATAAATCAATTTCCTGATCACATCGTTGTTATCGTATGCGTTAAAGGGTTAAAAGTGTGCTCATTTTTTACTTGAATTATTTAGCGATTCGTCCACGTACCCCTAGAAGTGGTACATGTACCATAGTTTGAGAACCACTGACCTAAAAGAAAAAAGTATTATTTTTTCTCAGAAAACATATTTTTATAAGGGTGCAGTTGTCTTGAATTTCCCCAGATGTTGGTAACAGCAAAACAAATCCATATATGCAAAGAAAACAAATCTAATTAGTTCACAAATGAAGTTATATGTAACACAATGTAATGACGCTGGGAAAAAATATTGAACACATGAAGAAAGGAAGGTAGAAAGGCAGTAAAGGCCAGACACTACATTATCAGGATGATGAGGATGAAACCAGGACGGACATTTCAGCAAGACAATGATCCAAAACACAGCCAAGGAAAGTCTCAAATAGTTTCAGAGAAAGAAAATAAAGCGGTATAGAATATAAAGTCATGGAGAAGTTGAAAAATAATGAATATTGTGTATGACTACCATGAGCTTAGTAGGACTGCATCCATACATCTTTGCAATGGCTCAAATAACTTATTAATAAGGTAATCTGAAATAGCAAAAAAAGCAGTCTTGCAGGACTCCTAGTATTCATTAAGATTCTATGGATTAATCTTCAATGCCTCCTCCTCCATCTTACCCCAGACATGCTCAATAATGTTCATGTCTGGTGACTGGGCTGTCCAATTCTGGAGCAGCTTGACCTTCTTTGCTTTCAGGAACTGATGTGGAGGATGAAGCATGAAAAGAAAAGCTATCCTGCTGAAGACTTTGCCCTGTTCTGTGTTTTGTAATGAAATGGGCAGCAAAAATGTCTTAATACCTCAGGCTGTTGATGTTGCCATTAACTCTGCAGATCTCTTGCACGCCCCCATTCTGAATGTAACCCCAAACCATGATGTTTCCTTTACCAAACTTGACCGATTTCTGTGAGAATCTTTGGTCTATGCGGGTTCCAATAGGTCTTCTGCAGTATTTGTGGTGATCAACTAGAAGTCAAGTTATTGTTTGTTGCTCTTACACAACTAGGATCGACGACAAGACTTGTCAGGTAGTGTAGGTATGCGTTATATTTTATCAGCTGATTCTTTAAATAATACTTAAAAAATATACCATTTAGAGTTATTTTAGCACATTGTATATTTACATTTTTTGTATGTTTTTATTTTGTAACTCACTTTAGCATTTAAAACGACAGATTTAATGTCATTTTGTATTTATTTAAACAAATGTCATCATCTCAGTCATCATCTACTAAATATACAGAATAACTACATAAAAATAGTTATATTCAAATAAGTAGTCCTCATCGAGCAGTATTTAACATTGCTAATAAGCTAGTTCAGCACAAAGATGTTCCAGAGCGATGACATCAATGTAAAATTTCTAGTTTTACATTTAATATGTCTGAAAATGCTACTAAGGTCCTCCATATTTTCTCCTCAGACCACATCTTCAGCGCTGAAGGGGGCCATTCAGCTGGGAATTGGCTACACAGTCGGTAACCTGAGTTCCAAGCCGGAGCGGGACGTCCTGATGCAGGATTTCTACGTAGTGGAGAGCATCTTCTTCCCCAGGTGACCCCGCCTCTCCAAAGTTGAAGGTAGATGTGGAATTTCACAGGCAATAAATGTTCTTGCCTCCGTGTTTTTCACAGTGAAGGGAGCAATCTGACACCAGCACATCATTTCCCAGACTTCCGCTTCAAAACCTACGCTCCCGTGGCCTTCCGTTACTTCAGAGAGCTCTTCGGCATACGGCCCGACGACTATTTGGTGATAAACATAAGCTGGGTTTTATTATAAGTATATGAATCAGCATATGTTTATGTGTGCTTTTGTTTGTGTTCACTTTCAGTATTCGCTGTGTAACGAGCCGCTGATTGAACTGTCCAATCCCGGAGCCAGCGGTTCAGTCTTTTATCTCACAAAGGATGATGAGTTTATCATTAAGACAGTCATGCACAAGGAGGCCGAGTTTTTACAGAAGCTTCTTCCTGGATATTATATGGTGAGTCGCTGGTGCCTTTTTAAGTTGTTAGCCAATATGAGTTTTCAGTGTCTGATGCCAATATATAGACATTGAGGTGGTTTATATATATATATATATATCATACAATACAGACAGACAATCTTAAATTTATTACTTGAATCAAATGAACTCATCTCAACTTACATCAGTCAAACTGACTTAAAATATTAAGTTAAAGTCTGTGTAACTTAAAAAAAAACTTGTTAAAATAAGTCAAAGCAACATAAAATTATTTGTTGTCTTGACTTTTTGTCATTCAATTTTTACAATATATCAATACCATAATGTTTTACCAATATTACAATTAATGAGAATGCATCTGCAAGCATTTTTTCCAGAGTTATGTTGTTTTTGTTATGTTGTTATTTCTTGAGGAACAATATATCGGTATAATATATCGAATGAAGCTCCACTCACTCTATTGGTTGATAAGCATGCCACTACTATATTTGTTTGTTTGTTTTTTTACCAATTTTAGGATGAATGAGAGTGTATCTGGCAACATCTTTTCTTACTTTTTATTGTTTTATTTTTAGCACCATATCGGTTTACTAACCGATATTTACATTTAACCTACAACCTTTTTAGCATTGTTACCGTTTTATTCTTCAACAGATTTTTCAATGTTTAATTATGTAATAGTTTAGCGTTTTTAAACATTATGAGACCAAGAAAAAGTTACTGATTTACTTTTTTTTGAACCAACATTAAATTGAGCTAATATTTATGACCAAATATCGGCCATTCAAAAGTGTTTTTAAGTGTTTTATTCAGACCTCTACTATTTTCATTTTTTGAGCCTCAATAATTTCAGTATTTACAGAATTATGTTGTTTTTATTAAGTTGTTTTTTCTTAAGGAGCAATATAACGGTATAATATATAGGATAAAGCTACACTCACCCTATTGGTTAATAAACATGCCAGTACTATATATATAAATATATATATATATATATATATATATATATTTATATATATATTTTTTTTTTTTTTTTTTTTTTTTTTTTTTGCCAATTTTAGAATGAATGACAATGTATCTGGCAATATCTTTTCTTACTATTTATTGTTTTATTTTTCAGCACCATATCAGTTTATTAACCGATATTTGCAATTAACCAGAAACTGGTTTTACTCATTGTTATTGTTTTACCCTTAAACAGATTATTAAAGACACAATAATTTCTGTATTTACAGAGTTGTGTTGTTTTTTTTATTATGTTGTTATTTCTTTAGTAACAATATAAAGGCACCATATTGGTTGTTGATCGATTATTTATTAATGAGGAAATGTTTTAATTGTTTAGGATTTTAAGATTTATTTTTAATTAATTTTAAAAACATTGTAGGTAGTAGCATTGAAAAATAATTTGATTGTGGGATACTTTTGATGTTTAAGCTTGGCTAAAATACACAATTTAAGTTGCTATTCTCTTTTTTTGCGAAACAATTGCAGCGTATTATTGCTCGCTATCACACAGTCAGCTGCCTGGTTAAACAATAATAGTACAGACTAGCCAAGAGGCTATTTTAAAACAAATTCTCCCCTGAGGCGATATGTCTACTATTTACCTGGATAACAAAAATAAATGACTCAATTAGCATTTAAAACCGTGCACATTCAAGCACTCTGTCTCCATTGGACCATGGTTTCCAGGAGAACATGAAGGGTTTTTTTCAGTAGAGGATGCCTAAATGGCTTCTCAGTGTCAGCTGGTTTGGTTTGTTCCATCTATTCATCTGAAGCTAATGAGCCCATGAATGGTGACGGATCAGTCATTGTTCAGCAATAATACTGACATTGGTCTATTCTCATACAGAAACGGTATTTTACTCTGTTTGGCTTTTCTTTTTTCTGTTTCTCCTTCTTTGTCATATCTTGTTGAACAGGTCACCTTTGGGAATGTGATGGGTGTCGCGCTAAGCTTCTTTAGGTTGGACATTTGCTTCATTGCTTTTCCTTTTTTGTGTGGTGCTTTTTAAGAGGATATAAACTTTAAGCTAATTGGGGTCAGGATTTACTACGTTCTGAAGGATTTGCTGGCAAACCAAATTGACTGACTTATGAAAGCTTTTTTTCTTTTGGTTGAAATGGTGTGTTTTAAGTGGGGAATCAATTGTGTAACTTGTTTTATTAAACTATTAATTAACATTTAGAAGTGGTTACTGAAAAAATGGGGGTTTGCATGCCATATAGAAACAGGTTTGTTGATGATTTTGTAAATTCAAGTGAATGTGTTTTAATACTAATGCAATTTAAAGGAATAGTTCCTCAGAAAACATTCACTGTCCTCCTGAGTCCTTCTGATTTATTTTCCACCATTGGATATAAAAGGAGATGTTTTGATTAATGTTGATGTTGCTCCTTTCCAGCAAAATTGGATGCTCTCGAACAATAAGAACTATTAATGTAATTATCCCTTGATGCTTATAGTAACTGGTAATTATCGAGAACGTCACTAGGATGTTTCTTTTGTAAAATGTAACATTTTTTTCTCTCTTAAAGATACAATTTTGACCCATGCAACTTCAAGTTAGTTAAAAAATGGTTTAAAAGTGTCATTAATTTTTTTATGTGAAGAATTTGTTATTGATGTATATAATTATAAGATTAAAAATTTTTCACATATTGTAGAGATGACAATTTCAACATCATGTGAATAAAGAGCAATTCATTAGCGAAAATTAAAAAATGAACGGGTGTAGCATCATTCATTACAAACTCGGGTCAAATCTAAATTTGAATTACCATTGATCTCTGACAATGATGTAATAGGTGGGTGTGGTTCTGAGGCTCCACTTTTTTTTGACATGGACCTTTTTTTGGATTAATTTCCTCTATTCAGTAGTGATGGTGAAATGAAGCTTTCTGAACCAGTGAAGCGCTCGACTCAATTGTATCGGAAAAAGAATTGTTACTCAAAGCTTTTCAAATCCGAGCTCAATGAGGACCTCTGCTGTTAAAAAAGTGTTGGAAAGCACTGTTGCAAAAATGCCAAACGTTTACAGCTGACCAACTCATTCATGTAGTGATACAACAATAGTAATACAAACAAATTACTCAATTACTGTACTTTTACTACTTTTAATTTTATTACTTTTACGCATAAGGTATGTTACATTACACCACCGATGACTGTTGTAAAATCCAAGGTAATCAAAAGTATTTACATTTATCGTATTCCAACTGGTCCTTAACCCACACACTCGTTCCAAGCGCGAATCGAACCGGCGAGTGAGGCTTTTGTGCTGCACTTCCCAGCTAGCCTCCGTTACACACTATACTACAATATTCAGTGGCCTTCTTTAAAGATCGTTGTAATAAAACACTAATACACTTTAGTATGGTTCAAAAGCTTTTTACTCTAAATTACTGTTGTATTTTAGACGAATTACTGGTGCGTGGGACTGGTGCAGTGCTTTGAAACAGTTGAAATGTATGTAATCAAAGCCTAATCTCTCGCTATACACTTTACTAATCCACGAGGGTGTTCAAACCTTTGAATCAAAATTCGAAGTAGTCACGTGGGTATAGGTGAAAATGAAGCTTCGGGTGTCACTGATCACATGATGATGGCAAAACTTAGCTCTAGTACACTGCTTCACTGTGAGCAGTATCATTTTTTTTGATTACATCACATCACTACTATTCAGTCCATTGAGGTCAAACTTCTGTTAAGGAACACTGAAGAGGTGCTTTATAGTACAAAATTTAATTGTAATTGTGATTAAAAGCAGCATTGACACTGTTAAATAGTGTGTGTATTGTGTACGGTGTACTAAATAGTGTACTGTTTGCTAACAGTATAACTTTCCTGGGGTATTTGAAACCTCTTGTTACCCCGAATGAAGAATTTTATAGCTGAATTGTAATTTCAAGATGAACTGTTCCTTTGTAGAATAAATAAACAAATTTTGCAAATAGGGATGTAACGATTCACTGTTAGTCGGTTGCGATTCAAACCGGTAGAAATGTTGAACGAATCGCGATGCATGTTTTATCCAGAAGGGGCGCTGTGTTTAAGGACGCAAACTTGCTTTACCTGCGAGGAAGAGGTGGGGCGGCAGACTAAAATGACAGCAGTGAGGGGCACCAGACAAAACACAAACTGTGCAAATAGTGCAAAAAGATGTTTACTTACACTAACAGAACAATGAAAATGATGCAGCACATAAACCGTCAAGACAGAGAAAACCTACTGCCAAAGAGATCTATATACAAAAAGCTATTAATAAGCCAAACCACTTAAACCGGAGGATTAGCAGCTCCACTTGCTTTGATTAGTGCTGTGGATATTACACGGTGCATCAGTGTTTTCATAGCGAAAGTGTGAAGATGTTTTTCAGACTGAAAGAGAAAGTATTAGATTATTTTTACTCTCTCCTTTTCAAATTAGTTTATGCATATTTTAATTTGCTTATTATTATTAAAAAATATTTTAAAACATTCCAGATGATCTCTTCTTAAATGAATCACTATGATACTATTAATGAATTATGCAAGTAATATTAATTATTCATCATCGTAATCATGTTCAACTTCTGTCTCTATCCTACTATATAATTAGTAATTTTATAATTTTATTTCTGCCAGTGACCAGTCCCGTAGAGCAGAGAGCCTATTTACCACCTCTGTACACACTGCACTCCACACCAGCTGTCTCAGTCCCCAATGAAAGAGATTTTTCATCAGCAGGGTAAATCTGTAAAGACCTCTGCTTATGCCAGTAAACATGCTGATATTTCTTTTTAAAAATGTCAAATCCCTGCAGGGTCACAGTTTAAGTTTGTCTGAATTAAAGAGCCTTCTTTAATTTGTATTATTCACTTTTTTAGTTGGAAGTTGGTTTAAAATAGTAATTTAGTTATGGCAGAAAATATTTTATTTTGTAAAAAAAATGTGCAGCATTTAAGAAAAAATGAAAGGGCTCTTCTTCACCTTAAATCCAAAATTGTATTGTGAGATTAATATTGTGAATCGCATTGCATCGTGAGTCAGGTGAATCGTTACATCCCTGTTCGCAAACCATGTAATCAACAAATACAAGTATAAATCATTTAGCACAGCGTATTTGTTTACATCTGCTAGTCGTTTAATCTTTCAAATGTTTGTCTCCTCAGAACTTGAATCAGAATCCTCGCACCTTATTACCCAAGTTCTTCGGGCTCTACTGCGTACAATCGGGTGGCAAGAACATTCGAATGGTGGTGATGAACAACGTTTTGCCCAGGGTGGTGCGCATGCACCTTAAATACGACTTAAAGGGGTCCACATACAAAAGGCGGGCATCAAAAAAAGAACGGGAAAAGGCAAAACCAACTTTTAAAGACCTTGACTTCATGCAGGAATTACCAGACGGACTCATGCTGGACACAGACACATACAACGCCCTGGTCAAGACCTTACAGAGAGACTGTTTGGTAAGTTCTGGACAGGACAAAACATTTGAACCAGATAAATGTTTGTAATGAGTAGGATTTTAAAGATATTTTTGAAGCTGTTCTGCTCAACAAGGCTGCATTAATTTGATCAAAAATACAGTAAAAATGTGAAACATGATTACAGTTTAAAATAAGTGCTTCCCTATTTAATGTAGTTAAAAACTGTCCTTATTCCTGATTTAAAGCTACACTTTCACTATCATTACTTCCGTCTTCAGGTGTCGCATGAATCTTTGGAAATGATTATAATATTATGATCTGCTGTTCAATAAATATTAGTTAATTTCTTGCATTTATACAGCGCTTTTCTAGACAATCAAAGCGCTTTACACAATAACGGGAATCTCCTCATCCACCACCAGTGTGCAGCATCCAACTGGATGACACAACAGCAGCCAAATTGCGCCAGACCGTGCACCCCACAACAGCTAATTGATGGAGAGAAGACAGAGTGATAAAGCCAATTATGATATGGGGATGGTTAGGAGGTCATGATGGACAGAGACCAGTAGGGAAAAATTGGCCAGATGCCGAGCTTAAACCCCCACACTTTTTCAAAGACCATCCTGGGATATTTTATGTACACAGAGAGTCAGGATTTAACGTCTTATCCAAAAGACGGCACTCACTGAGCAGTAAAGAGTCCCCTTCACTATCTTGAAGCGTTAGAACCCACACAGACCGCAGGTTGACCACTCCCTGCTGGCCTCACTAACACCACTTCCGACAGCAACCTAGCTTTCCCATGTGGTCTCACATCCAGGTACTGACCAGGCGCAGCCCTGCTTAGCTTTAGTGGGCGACCATGTGAGAGTTGCAGAGAGCTAACTGCCAGCGTTATTATTATTATTATTATTGTTGTTGTTGTTGTTGTTGTTGTTGTTGTTGTTGTTGTTGTAGAAAACTGCTGTGCTACTTCGCATTCATATGGAAACTGTGACACAGTACCATTCAAACGCGCCATTAAAATACACTTAAGATACACTACTTATCAAGGACACAATAAATTGCTCAAATTAAATCAAAGACAATTTAATGTTAAAAAAATAATATTTCGTTTCAAATAAATGCTGTTATTTTGATTTTTGTTCATCAAGTAATTTTATAAATAATGTGCATCTCAGTTTCCACCAAACTATGAAGCAGTGAAGAAGTTTTCAACAATAAAAAGAATCAGTATTACTAATAATTGATCATAATAAAACCAGCAAATCTTATAATGATTGAAATTATATTACTTCTTACTAGATCATTAATATATTTTGTTTAAAAAAACGTTTTGGTCATAAATAAATTTAGTTTTTGATCATATAAATGCATCTTTATTGAGCAGAAAAGGCTCTTTTTAAAACATGAAGAATTATACGGGTTTCAAACTTTGGTCAGTAGTCTATTCGGAGTTGATATTAAGATATTTTTTGGTGTGTAGGTCTTGGAAAGCTTTAAGATTATGGATTACAGTTTGCTGCTGGGCGTTCACAACATCGATCAGGCGGCAAAAGAGCAGCAGATGGAAGGATCTCAGGGCAACAGTGATGAAAAGAGGCCGCTGGCACAGAAAGCGCTTTACACCACTGCCATGGAGTCCATACAGGGAGCGTCGGCCTGTGGAGAGGGCATCGACACCGATGACACGTGAGTGATCAGATTACTCCATGTTTGAGATGTATAAATGATATTTTAATATGGATATGCAGTGGATACGGAAGGCATTCAGACCCTCTCAAATTTTTCACTCTTTGTTATATGGCAGCCATTTGCTAAAATTGTTTAGGTTCTTCTTTTTTTCCTCATTACGTACACAAAGCACCCCATATTGACAGAAAAACACCGAATTGTTGACTAAAAGAAAGACTGAAATATCACATGGTCCTAAGTATTCAAACCCTTTGCTCAGTATTTAGTAGAATCACCCTATAGATCTAATACAACCTGGAGTCTTTTTAGGAAAGATGCTACAAGGATTTGGGGATCCTCTGCCATTCCTTCTTGCAGATCCTCTCCACTTCTGTCAGGTTGGATGGTAAGAGTGAAAAATTTAAGGGGGTCTGAATGCTTTCCGTACCCACTGTATGTGACGCATTTATGCATGCGTTGAAAAAAGTGTGTATATATATTTAATTGTTTAGAAAATGCTTTTATCTAAAGTAACGTAGACTACATCTACACTATCCTGTTAAATTCTGTTATATTGTGGCTCATTTTCATCTAAAACACTCTGTGCACTGTGCTGTGTCTTTACATTTTTTTGAACATTGCTAAGTAATACAAACAGTTGTCACATGGCGGCACCAATGAGTGTACCCTTATAGAAAAAACTTTTATATTTCTAAATGACGTAGTGTGGCACGGTGTGATGTAGACATGGTCCGGTATAAGATTCTGACGGTATGATAACCTTGAATTTCATGGTACTGTGATAACGGCTCTAAAATATGTTCTTTTTAAATATCTGGGTAAAAAAATATTTGTTGTGTGATCACAATATATTTTATTTTAAGAAACAGGATACTGTTGCCCTAAAAAATTAAATAAAATATCACAAAAAACAATAAATTAAAAGTTCAATAAAATAAAAAAAAATCAATAAAAATAATATATCTTGTAAGAATGCTATAACAGATTTTTTTTTGCGGTTTTAAAACCTTGACATTTGCAAACTGTTGTAAACCTTGAAACCGGTTATCGTCCCATGCCTAGTGTGACTCTTTATGTCCTGTGTGCGAAGAGTTTTTAACAATGCCGTTTAAAAGTAGAGCATCCAAAACAACTTCTGTACAATATGCCATCCACTATTTTAGCTGAATTGGTTAGAAAAATTGGTCACGAAAAATTGTTTTCATAACGAGAAATGAAAAATAGTTTATTTAGTTAAAATAGTTTAACGAAAAATAGTTTTTATAAGCCTCCATTTTTACAGTCCACTCTGCAACACACAAAAAAACATCAAGTTCAAAAAGATGCGCTTTTTTTCACCTAAAACACTGTTTAATGTGGATGGAAGGCCAAATTGGGTTCAAACCAAATGTGAATTTAAGTATTTGTGTCAGTAAATTAAACAGAAGCTTAATGCAAATGTGCAAACAGAGGCAATTTTAATGTGGAATTCTTGATGTATTTGCTGACCTTTACCTAACTCTAAGGTGCAAATTGTGTTTATATAAACACAACTTTTAAAAGTGTAACTGTCCTGTCAGTTAAAAATCGTCTTTTGTTTTTTTAAACCTTTTTATTTGTGATTTTTCAAATTTTTTTCAAGAACATCCCCCTTCCCCAACAATTTAACCCCTGACATATGAGGGAATGCATAAACAAATAATTATATGATAAAAATTTGAAGTAAAATAAGAAAAATAATACAAAATAAACAAATGAATTAAAAATAAAGGTACTGCCATCATAATTACATTAAGGGGATACATTTGTACATCCAGTTACATTGTAGTTACCTCAGATTACATCAGTAATAGGTTAAGTAACCTCTAAATATACATATCTAAATATGCTGTAATACTTTCCCAACTCTTCAGAAAAATATCAGTCTTCATTTGTAGACTCTGAATCCACTGACCCACCTTTGGAGGACTTTCTTTCATTCAATGTATTGTTATCTATTTTGGGGGGAACCAGTAATAATTTCCTTAGTACAAATCTTTTCTTTGGACAGTGCTCCCAGTAAGTACTCAACTGGACCAAGGCGTGTTATCTATTTCTTTTGTAACATGTTTCCAAAAGTCTTGAATTGTAAGGCAGTCTCAAAACATGTGGGTATGATCTCCAATTTTACCCCATTTTCTCTAACAAAAAGCAACTGATGGCCCTTTTACATATGTAGAGATTACAAAAGGAGAATAAAAATCCTGTTTCATCAGAACAATGTGTCACAATATGAAACTGAATGAATTGCTAACAAATAGATTGTGTTTTGTGTTTAATATTTTATCATGCTCAATTTATTTAGTTGCCAGATTTCTTTTAAAAAATTGCCAAACCAAATCATTTAATCACTTGCTACTTTGTCACCTAAAAAACTACAAGTTTTATGTTAGTATTTAGCAGGGCTTTTCTTTTTCTTCCTTTTTTAAAGTTGTGTAAAAATGTTGATGGCGGTGTGTGTTTTTGTGGTTCAGGATGGGTGGCATTCCTGCAGTCAATGGAAGAGGAGAGCGTCTGTTACTGTACATCGGAATAATCGACATCTTGCAGTCGTACAGGTGTTTGCGTCAAACTCTCCCACCTGCGTCACTTAGCATTTCCATCAAGAAGAGTGTGATTCACTGCTGCCACAATGACTTCAACCACAATGGACTGACTTTTATTTGTATTTCCATCTAGGTTAATAAAGAAGCTGGAGCACACATGGAAAGCTCTGGTCCATGATGGGGTGAGAATCTTGCCAAATACTTGGAAAAAAAAAATTAAATAGTGAGACCTTCCAGCTCTTCTCACTTTGAATGAAAAACGTAGCTAAAGTCCAGCTGTGTTTTGAGACTCTGTGGTCTCTGACCTTCACAATAAGTCCTTTATTTTCATATTAATAAAGCAGGATCTGCTGCGGTTTGTTAGCATGAATGGAGTTTAGTGAGAATTATGGGGTTTTGGAGGAAATGCTTGTTAAAACGCACACTAATTTTGGTCTGTTTGTCTCTGAGGATGTGCTAATTGGGCTATTGCTGGATATGAAACACACACACACACACACACACACACACACTTGTTTTCTCCTCGGCTCAGCTGTGAATAAAGCAGAGATTTCTCCAATCCAGCCTGTGACGCATCAGACTACGCCATACTGAGAACGGACTGAGATTCATTTAGATGCTAATTAAGTTATTTATAGAGCTGGAACTGGAATATCTCAATCGCGTCAGCTGGAACTGACAGAAATCTATTACTTGACTGAAACTGCCTTGAGAGGGAAAGTGTTAACTGTTTTACCTGTTCAGCTAAGTTTATATTGGCTAGACATTGTAAATGAATGTCTGCTCAATGAAATTTTAAGATCTATCAAAGAAACGCGAGCAGTAATTATCGAAGAAACCGTGATCATTTTAAAAGATGTTGACTAAAATATGTGCTTTAATTTTCAGATTGATTGAAATTATTCACTTTGTGTCTGTTTTTTCCTCTTCAGGACACGGTGTCTGTTCACAGACCGTCTTTCTACGCCGACCGCTTCCTCAGGTTCATGAGCTCTACTGTGTTCAGAAAGACTTCCTGTAAGTTATATTTGTTTTACAGAATCACATTCATTTGAACATGAAACATGAAACACTTGAAAAGTAAATTATTAACGTTATTAACAAAAGCCTTATTAACATGGCTGTTCTATAAAACAGCACCTACGGAGTTCATTTGAACGCTATGGTCACATGACACAATTAAATATCTAAACCAATGGTCTCAGGGTGCTTTCACACTAGCACTTTTGGTCCGCACCCGAGTTCGTTTGACGTCATAGTACGGTACGTTTAGCTAGTGTGAATGCGTCTTCTGAACCCGGGTGCGGACCCGTGAACCGTACCCGAGTCCGCCTGAATGAAGTGGTCTGGGGTACGGATCATGCGAACTCTGGTACGGTTCACTTCAGATGCGAATGCAATAATACCAAATAACGGAAGTGAACTACAGTGAACTGCCAACTGTACAGCAAACTATCGCTTTCATAATGTTCGTTTGTTCGTGTGTGTGTCTTGTTTCGTACCTTGGTGACACGCGCGGGACTGAGCCAGGGCAAACACAGGGATGTCTGCTTGTCTCCTCCAAAAACAGCTTCTGCAGACGCTGTGTGATGTGCTTTTTTGTATGTCCAAAAGCTTTCAGTAAAAGCAGAATGACCACGATGTGCGGAAGTCTTTCCATTTCGGCGCTTTCTTGCGTGGCCGTCACCTAGCAACGCCCGTAAACAAAACAGCAGCTCGATGACGCAAGCGTACCGGAGTTCAGAAGGAAAAAAGACAGTGTGAACACAAACCAGCCGAGGAGGTGGCAAGGGGAGACAATCGAACTTGGGTACGGTCCAGGCAAATGAACCAAGTGTGAAAACACCCTCAAACTCAATTTCTGGAGGGCCACAGCTCTGCATAGTTTAGCTTCAATTTCCTCCAACTCATAACTGCTTAATAGTCTTTTGTAGTCCTGAACACCTTGATTAGTTGGATCAGGTGTGTTTGAATAGGGTTGTAGCAAAACTGTGCAGAGCTGTCTCCCTCCAGTAATCCAGTTTGAGACCTATGATGTAAACAATATAGAAAATAGCTGATTCCATCCACATGTTTTTACACCCATTTTTGATATGCGCATAAAAATATGGTTGATGGAAACCAAGATGTGCATGAATGTTGAAAATGCACATAACTGAGTAGGATAAACTATTCGATTAGAAAAAATATGCATAAACTACGCTGGAAGGACTTTTACCAAGCAAATTCCAGTATGTGCATTTAAAAAAGTCATGTGATTGTGTTATAAGAGATCATGTGATGATAAAAATGTTTGTGAATGAACAAACCAGCAGGCTGAGCACATAGTAAAACATCTGAAATGTTGTTTTGGTCATTCTAAAATGCCTTTAAGCCTCCTTTCCACTGCACACGACAAGCGACAGACCGAAAGTCATTCATTTCCAATAAAGAGAGTAGTCCGGGAGCTGCGTGGAGTTCCGATCATCTTCATATGTGGAAAATTCGGATCTGAATTGAGCTGCGGATCCGTTGAAATATTTGAACTCCTGCGACTAGACCGGCCGACCAGATGTGATGCATTCCAGTGTTGTCTGTGTGCACGCGAGATGAGAAATAGTAGCTTATTTGATTATTTTTTGAATCAGAAAAAGTGTATGTATATATATATATATATATATATATATATATATACTTTTTCTAAATTAAAAAAATAACCAAATAAGCTACTATTTCTCATATATATATATATATATATATATATATATATATATATATATATATATATATATATATATAAAACATTTATATTTATAAATGTATGTAATAAAATAATAGAAATATAATTTTTTATGTTGTCTCCAAAATTTTTTAGCCGTCTATGGGTTTCTAGTATTCATTCATTCATTCATTCATTCATTCATTCATTCATTCAATCATGGTAAACGCACAGAGAATACTGGATCTTGCTTTTGCACTCCTTTACTTCGGACACTGCGAGAACAGCTTCTCTGCCATGGGGCACGTCAGAACTAAAAATTCTGTGCGACTGCCACAAAGGGGCGTATTCCGACTGTCGTGTGTGCAGTGGAAAGGCGGCTTAAGTATCTCAGTGTTGGTTTTATTATATTATTAATTACCTTCACAATTGTTAATAGCATCTGTGCTCTGCATCTCATGGCTTCAAACATCACTACACGTTCATTGTGTGTTGGCATTTTCTTCTGAGGCCTATGCAGTTTCTGTCCACTAAAGTAGACATCATTGGCACACGCGTGTCCTCTAGGTAGTAAACAGTGTGTCAGCTCATTTGTGATTTCACGGCCATGAATACATCATTACATTAAGACAGAAATTAAATATTTGGGTGAGTTATATCTTATAAATACAGTTTGTAACACTTTTTACACCATTTGGAGGTGTCAATGTTGCTGAGCAATGTGTATAAAACAATGTAAAGACTTGGGCGACTGCCTTTGAGCTTCTTTCCTGACCTTGAAAATACATTTGGCTGAATTGTAGAAAAGTTGCATTAAGATCGTGTGTAGGGTCGAATCGAGACCACAATCTTTTTTCAATTAATCGTGCAGCCCTAATACATGTACATACAAATATATATACATATACATACACATATGTAGATATATAGCTACATTTTCAACAATATGTTGATGAAGGCAAGTGTTGCTAAATGTTGTTGTTACTAAAAGCGTTTACATTTTTTTCACTTACTTTTCGAGTGCCTTGGACTTTTGATTTTCTTGTTAATCTTTATGAATTCCTTACCCAAAGAGCACTGACGCATTAACTACCCCTGAAGCACTTTTGGTTTGATATGGATTTTAATAGGAAAGCATGTTTGACTATTCTCACCAATAAAACAATAAAAATGTATTTTAATCATGATAAATGATAACTAACTAAAAATGCTTTTTTATTTACGAAGTTTAACTAAAACGAAAAAATGTATGAAATATAATTTCTTTATTATTTTAATTGTTTACGTAGATGTTTTGTAAAAAGTGTATTTTATATAAATAAGTGACATATGATGGAAAAATGTATCCACATTTAAAACAAAAGATGTAAATGCATGCAAAATTAAATATTACATACCAATAATATAAAGAATGCAATATCAGTACCCCCCTATAAGAAAATTGAAAGTTTTAACAGGAAAATCCTATTCTTCATTGTTCTAATCAAAAATCGATTTCATTTAGCATTAAAATCGTCTCCGTCAAAGAGGGGTCGGGGGGGTCTGGCGGTGGGCAAATACTGTGGACCCGGAGCGGCCTGGTCTGCCAGCCAGCTGCCCTTCATGAGGGACGAAAACATCTACGACCTCAGAGGAGCCCGCAGCTTCCCCACACTGGAGGATGATGGTCAGTATTGTGAGAGTTTATTTGCTATTTTTGTTTTTGCTTCAAAATGCTAGTTTTAACAAATAAAGACATTTGTTTTTATTCATGCTGTTTCTCTCTTTTATTTCACTTTATTGGTTAGATTTTTTTAGGTTATCCATAGTTCATTTTGACAGCTAAAATACTGCTACCTATATGTTTTGTTTTGAATTTGAAGTAATTTAGTCTGTCATGTTTATAAAAAGATATTGTTTGTTTTGTTTGGTGTTTTGTTTTATATATATATATATATATATATATATATATATATATATATATATATATATATATATATATATGTATTTATTTATTTTTTAATATTGATTTATAATTCAGGGGGGCTAAAAATTCTGACTTCAACTGTGTGTGTAGTTAAAGTCAGAATTATTAGCCAATTATTTTTTTTTACCCAATTTCTGTTTAACAGAGAGATTTTTTTCAACACATTCCTAAATATAATAGTTTTAATAATTCATATCTAATAACTGATTTATTTTATCTTTGCCATAATGACAGTAAATAATAGATTATTAGATAACATTCAAGACACTTCTATACAGCTTAAAGTGACATTTAAAAGCTTAACTGGGT